CATTGTATTAAAATGGATTAATGACAAAGAAAATCAAAGATTGTTTAAAGTAACCGGATTTAGATACATGGTATTTCTGTACAACAACCTTTTTTTATGAATTTAACACTACTAATGAAAAATGCTACTGAAATTATCACCAGTAGAGAGACGACGTGGTCCAGAGAATGAAAAGTTCCGAAAAATAGAGAAAACGATGTAACTGATATTAAAGCAATTAACTGCGATTAGCTGATAATGCGGACATGAAACATCCCACCACGCTTAAGGAAAAGGCTAAATTCATGTCGTTCTAGAATTACCAACAAGTTACAACTAAACGACCTGGGAAACTGCACAATGAGGGTGATAGGAGAGGATGGACCTTTTTTATCCAGAACGATTGTAATAAAATACAAAATGCTGCTAAGGGAGTGTCATTTTTGTTGAAAGTAATGAGGATAACGAGCTCGAGGGAACTGCAATGTGTACTTTATAATCAGATTTCGTCAACATAAACATGATTCTTTTTTAAGTAACTGGTAATGTTATCACTTAACATCTCACGTTAAATCGTTAATCTTTACTGTTTATACTGACTTAATGCAACGTACAAGAAAACAATGTTATTTGATTTAAATATTAAGCTTACAGCAAGACCGTTCGCATCCCCTTTCAAAACATTTTGGACGTAGAGCTGCTTGAGCTCTCGCTCAAGACGACTTGGCAATCCGGGGTACATCGTACTACCGCCACTTAGAACGATGTACTTGTAGAATTCAGGCCTTGTATCGATCGGTGCCGACTGGATGGTATTAAAAAGCATCTCCGAGATGCCAACACTTTCCTTATCAATCAAGTGAGGCTGAAACAGCACCTCCGGGGCTCCGAATTGTTCCCCACCCACTTTAATGACCCTTCCATCCGGCAACTGCGAGAAGAAATAAATGAGATGCTATTAAGAGCAACATTGGGAGCCAATTTCGTGAAATACGAGAACGCCCTCACGGGGGAAGACAATTTCTTCGTTTCTGGGACATAGTTGAACCGTAACATGAGATTATTTACTTCACTATACAAAGGCAAAAAGCTCAAACGTTGAAGTAAATGTCGTGGCAGAACCTTCTGAATCATTTTTTAGGATAATTGAAACCCCATCTACATCAATATTATAAGTTGCTGATTGGAGAGTATTTAGCAGTAAGTCGATTAATGATCAGCCAAAAATCTATAAATAGTGCTTTAATTCAGGATATTACATCATGTAACTACAAAGTTGAGAGAGAAATCACCGCATTTTTGCGTAAACCAAATAATTATAATAACCAGGAAACAATCTTAAGCTAAACCAGTCTGACAAATAGAATAACGTAAGTTAACTTCCCACACATAACATTTACGAACAACGCTACTGCTTCAATATTTAGAAATAGTATGTGCAAAAAATATTAAAGCTACAAATGCATAATGTAAAAAAACAGCATAGAAAGAGGGTGGTCAATATGACCCAGAGGAAATACCGTGTATTTCTTAACCAAAACGGTTGTTTCAAGAGCGAGATTCTGCTCTTGCTGTACATCATAAGCAACGTAGCAAAGCTTTTCCTTCATTTGCCTGATGGTTTCAAAATCAGCAGTCTGGTTGAAAGCATATCCACGCAACAAAAGAAGCTACAATAAGTTAACGGGATTAATGATTCATATTAGGAAGCAAAACCTGTTTCAAAATCAGGTGAAATAACATTACCTTTATAAGGTAACGTGTAATATCACGACCAGCGATATCAAGACGCTTTGTCAGATGTGTAAGAGTATGTCCAGAGTAGACAGGGCAAATATGGGTAACGCCATCACCAGAATCCACAACAACACCAGTCATTAAACCTGCAAAACGTTAAAATATGCAACATGGACAGCGACGACACTACGATACGATATATAGCTTTTATGATTACCAAGACCACAAAACAAAAAGACAAATACCCTGAGCGTAGAGAGTTAGTGTTGCTTGAATGGCAATATAAACTGCGTTGAAACCATAGTGGTCGAACATAAGTTCCATCATTTTCAACCGATTCTGCTTTGGATTAAAGGGAGGCTCCGTAAGTAAGATCTTTGCGTGCCTTGTGTCAATATTGAGTTTCGTTGGACCGAATGTGTAGTCATATAACTGCTTCATGTCGTCCCAATTTTTAACAATTCCATTATCCATAGGATAAGAAAGCTCAAGCATTGACCGCAATTCGCTGGCTTCATCACCGATCATGAGGTCCTTCACTTCGACATTCCCCACCTTCGCGGACGCCCTGAGAATTGGCCGGCCGAGAACAGATGGGAAAATGTATTCGGGAAAGTTTGATCCTGCATAACCACACTTCACAAACTAGAAATGTAAGCGTCTTTTTCAAACAAGAGTACCCCTGTTCCATTATCACACACGATAACTCGATCGTTGTCTTTATCGACAGCCATAGCCTGAAAAAGAAGAAGCTTCCGCCCACACCTCTAATAAAGCCGCCGGAGAGAAGCTGCATTCGGCATTCCAAGTTAGTTTATTAAAACAGTGAGCAATAAGTAATAAATTAAGCCAAAATATTTTCCAAAGTGTTTACAAATTTATTTAAGCTTAAATTTGTATATTAAAATAACTTTGTTCAAGTAATTACTAGTTTGAGTATAACAGCAATCGATAAATTTAATTTGTCCAAATTGGTTTACAGAGAAATTTGTAGTTCATGACATTTCATGGCTGCTGCATTATGGCTCAGGAGCTCTAAATTCTATTGCATGCCCTAATTTCTGCTAGAACAATTTTTTGCAAAAATTTAAAAATGAACCAAAGTTTTAGTCTCATAATATTCATATTCCAAAAATATTTTACTGTGTAAAAGTGTTTTGTTTAGCTTAGTTTAAGCCCCAAATTTCATTATTATTGTACAAAAAGAAGGTTACGTTATGTTATTTGAAGGCATTTGTAATAATCCGTGCAGAAGCCCCACCAAATTATTATAAGTTCTCCTTATTAATTTAGCATGGTTTTTTTAGGTAGCGTGGTTAACAAGATCGTAAGTAGCGAGCTTAAATTCTTGTAATCTAATGAATTCTCGTATATGAGACATCAAATGGATTAAAATTAATCTAAGGTATTTGTGTTGGAGCGACAGCTATTCGTTCTAAAGCAATCTGATATTAATTAATTTACATATTTATCTCGGGTTATGTGATTAATTTGCTAGTTTATTCACATTTTTATTATTTAATTTTACACATTTATGCATTTCAACTGTAAAATTTTATATGTTTATCTAAATATTGTTTATTGTTCAGTGCAACTATTAATAGGTCAAGCGATTTGGTCCACGCTTTCGAATAAACTTGTCTGACAATGACTGGTGAGTGGTTCATAAAACATCACCGCTCCTTAATAGTTTAAAAAAATGTAATTGAACTAAGTATGTTAACTTATATTCTTTTGCTTGCATAGGTATTGCCATACTGATCAGTAAACTCAAAATCAATTTGCTTTTTTTAAATTTTTGTAATTATGGTTTGATAGCTGGTATCAACACTGCTTTTTCTCATAAGTTATTGCTTGCATTTTGTTTAAAGTTAGGAATATTTTGATAACAGTTTTGGTGTTTTAGTCAGAATCATAATTTTCATCCATATTTTCGTTAATATTTCGCGATTTTCCTTATTATCAATAATTTCAATTTTGCTTTTTAATTAATAACATTAGTTGCTAAAAATTCATTTTTTCTTTTTGTTTTCATTGCACTTGCGCTTATCTTTGTGCAATTTGCTTCAATGTTCAACTAAAGTTTGTAATTTTTTGAGATAATTTTGTACATTGAAATGAGTACGATTTACACATAAATATTTTTTAATGTTCATATTTATAGATTTTGTTTGATACTTAATTATAATAAATATGCAGCGAATATCTAAGCCTTTTGTCTGCGATTAAAATAGTCATAAAATTTCCTATTTACGTGTGTCATTCCCCTTAATTTTCGATACTCATGTAGTTATTCATGATTACCCTAATAATTGGGCAAACAATGGGCTTTCAATTTTATAGAAGGACGCTTAACGTTTGTTACATTGGCTACAAACGATGCCTACGCGATTGGTGCTCTGATACTTGGCCATTCCCTGCGACAAACCGGAACGAAAAATGAGCTTACAATTATTATCACTGAAGGCGTTCCGCACAATTTTCGGTTTGTATTAGTTTTTGCCCAAATAGAAACACTGCTTTATTTTAAGGGATTTCAAATTCGCAAAAGGTTTTTCTATGTGTTTGAATCAAAAGAGCTTTCAGCTACAAGGTGTCTTATTTTTACAGAACAATTTATGCACCCACATGGTTATTGACTTTCATTTTATCAAATTACATTCCTGTAGAACTGCGCCTTTTTATCTAAATATTTTTTAAATTAATATTGCTCGTCTTTTAACAATAATTTGGATCTTTAATCCATGTATTGTTTTTGAATCTAGTGAACTTCTCCGTGGTGTTTTTGACAATGTCGTTGTTGTGAAGCCTTTACAAAACTTGAACACAAGGAATTTGAGCCTGCTTAGGCGACCGGAACTTGGAATAACCTATTCAAAATTGTATTGCTGGAAACTGATCGAATTTACGAAAGGAGTCTTTCTTGATGCAGACACTATTGTAAGTAAGCGTTATTTTGGCACACAGGAATGGGTGCCAAAATTTTAACGAGGCACAAACCTTCATGCAGTAAATCAAATTATTTTTGCTTCTGGTCGTAAAATGTCTGAAATATTATGTTCAAACTATCCATAGTATGCATTTTCGTGTTTGTAATCATGCCAGTCACACTAAGTTTTGGTGCTTGTGTGAGCTCAGGGCTGTATTAATCTCACTAATTCCTTTAATACAAGATGCATAACCTCTTACATTTTAATACCAGCTCGCTGAAAATTGTAGAAAAAGCATGTTATACCTTGCTACAGGAGAATGTGATTTTAGTTAATTATGAATAACTTTCGAGCCGCACATACTTTTAGAGCTCTAAGATGGCTTTTTTACGGAGCTGCATGTTAATGAATGCAAGCACAAAACATTGTTTCTAACTATGCTGCAATATAACTTAATGCTTCTGCGCATGTAAATTTTTCATTTGTACAAATTTTACCCTAAGGGTCTCAACATTCATAGTGCAATTTTGTAGTCTATTTTGTGTTATTTATAGGTTTAATTTCACCGTGTATTTTGTTACGGAGTCGGTTAATTTTTTTCCTGTCAATACATCTGCTTATTCAGTGGTATAAGTGAAGTCTTTCATTTGGTACAACTGTTTAATCGACAAAATACATGAGTGCATTTTGAATGACATGGGTCACTTTGGAGTTTTACTGGTTTAACCTCAAAATTTTGCACTTATTCGTCTCTCATTAGTGTTTGAAGCAGTTTGTTGAGCTTCAATTCATTTAAGTGCAACTAATTGCAAAATCTTTTTCAAACGATACAAAATGATTGCGCTTCACTTTAACTAAGCACATAGTGGTCGTGTATTACAACTGCTTTATATTAAAGATTAAACAAATAGGTTTTCCCAACCACTAGATTTTGTTTCGTTCTCAGATATCAAAAAAATGTAATTACCAGATACTTTGTATTGGTACCTCAAACGATACGAAAGTAATTAACTAATAAATCAAGCCAAAAGTTACCGATTATTGAGCCTTTTTTATCACTAACTGGAGTGTAGACAATATTTTTAATTGCTTTAAGCCCAATGAAGAGCAAAATCAGTGGCCTTGCATTAGGTCCGATTTTACTAAAATAGAGCTACTAGTGTATACCACTAATACACCATTACTATAATGTGAAAAGAAAGAATTTTTTAAGACCTTGAGTTTTCCAAAGTTTCAAATCCTTTAACATCGGTTTTAAAAGGGTATCATAGCAAACGGTATAAAAGTAAATGCGTCTGTGTTTAAGATTTCTATGAAGTAATGCATGAGGCGAGTGCCTTTTACACAATTAACTTGAGAATATTTTCTCTGCTGCAACATGAACCAAATCGGTTTAATATGTCACATATAATTATGCACTACTTTAGTCTCATTCCAAAATGCGACCGTATTAATTTCTGTTGCATCCCCAATAAAATTATTAGTATGTTTCTGGGTAACAACGGGAGTTCTCGAGTTGGCGTCGTGTGCCTATAGCAGCATTTTATGTCCAGTGTAAACAATGGGCTTTAGAGACAATTAGAATTATAAGTGCAAGAGCTGGAAAATGTGCTCCGTGTGAATTGGCGGTAGGCACCGGACGTTTTAAAACTAATCATGTATATCACGAGATGTTTAATAATTTGCGTTGTTGGACAATGATTTCAATGTTTGTAAAAGTGTCCTTTAGCATTTAATTAAGATCGTTTTTTAACCCCAAATGAGCAGATGCCAAAAGATGACACGACAAAACGAATTGGAGTGTTTTAAAACTAAGTCGTTTATTGAAGAATGCGTTTGGGTTCATTTACCCAGTTTATTATAAAAACCTTCGCATGTCAGCCTTGGATTGCCTTTGCGCCAATCATCCGCGTGTGCTCTTCTAGACGTGGAATAATATCAGCAACAACGAGCAGTATTGTTTAAATTTTCCTTATGCATTATAGGATGTCCCATGCCAGACAAAAAAGGTTTTTGTGTAATGCTGCGGCCATGGATTTCAAACACTTAGAGCATTGAGTGTGTAAGGATTTTCCATTTCCAGATTAAAATGATGTTGGTTAATTTTTCTTAAAGGTCCCTGGAAGTAGCACATAATAATAATAATAATACTTGAACAGTGGATTAAAAAGTGTGCACAACGTTTTGGATCTTTTTTTGAAATTAATTGGTTTGATTTACATTCGCAAATTTGCAGATAGGAATGAAATGCTGTATCCAATCAACATGTGAATCCTTTTGTGTCCTATCTTGAACGCGCTCTTCATTGCCTTCAACCCCAGCGGACGGTGCAGGATCAAGTTCCCAGTGAACCTTTATCATATATTTAATCCAAATCAAATTTTAGTAGGAAATCTTAATTAATTCATCGCGCGGCGATGACCGCATTTTTGTTCCTTCGTTTGATATTGTCATGTTGAGTAAAATCAGTAGTAAGTCAACTCCAAATTGATACACGACAGTTTATAAAAAGACATTTCGTACCTTTGTTTATGAGATATAGCCAGCCAAACGTTGTGGTCTAACCGAACTGTTATTTCCTGTTTATATACAATGAACGTTGTTTGTACCCTGTGCATTGGACCACGACTAGAACTCGGTACCGCAACACGGACCTAACCACCACACAATTGACTAGAATAAACCTAGTTTTTCTCTAAACCAAGGTTAATTTAGACTTATAGCGTTAGACGTCAGGCAGTTATTACAACATTCAATATGTGATTACACGCTGACCGTGTTTACACGATTTTCCGTGGGCAAAACTCTAAAAACGCACAAAGCAAAATCTTAAATTAGAACTTTTCAAGACTTTTTTTTCCTAATTCAGCCTTAAGCTTTGTTCTCTAACGGCACATCAGTACAGAAAAGCACAAACTGAAAATTTTCACCAAAATGCACAACAAAAACTTGCTCTGTTGGATTTCAGCCTTAAATTCAAATTCAGAGATTTATAATCATGTTTTCCTCATTTTACACCAAAAAATTGCATTAACCGAGTTTGACGGATTGTAGCTCATTGATTAAACAGGAAAAACATTTTTGCCTAGAAATTAATTTAATTTTAGTTTTCAAAAGGCAAAACTGTCACTAGACTCCAACAGGTTGGTCATCTATCCAACATTTCAGTAGCACTTAAAAGCTAGGAATAGCAGATTTCAGCCCATGGGTTTAAGATTAGCCGAAATCGAAAGACGATTATGTAAGATTTGGGTCTTCGTTTTAACGTTGGAGCTTCATAAGTAAGCAAAGGATACTGAAACAAGTCCCTCGATTTTCGTGTGGCTATGGCACGATCGAAATCATTCAAAACACCGTCTACTCTACTGCATTTCCTTGATTCTAAACCAATGACAAGACAGTAGTATGTCAACCAAAAATCAGCCCATCAGTGGAAATTGCGGTATTCTACAAAATGGCTTTACAGTCAGTCATTTGTGTCTCTCGTAGGTGCTACAAAATATTGATGATCTCTTCGATCGGGAGGAGTTGAGTGCAGCACCTGACGCGAGTTGGCCAGACATATTTAATTCTGGAGTCTTTGTCTTTCGTCCAAGCTTAAAAACCTTCGCCGAGTTGTGCGAACTTGCAAAGACCAAGGGCAGTTTCGACGGTGGTGATCAAGTAAGTTATCGCAAATAAACTTAGCAATGAGCACTGACGACTCAAAACATACCACCTGTGTGGTCTTTTTAAGTAGGATTTGGCGTTTTAATGCTGAGGTGGAGTACTTGAGAAGGGACGCTAAGACGCTTTGCCATCAGTTAGAAGGACACACATAGTTATCATTCTACTCACCTTTACTGAGTTTACGGTACGATGATGAAGAAGGGCCTGTCCATGCCTGGTAAAAGTACTAAGTACATCAATCAACACGTAGAATTGTCTTTGAACGCAACGATGACTCAGTATTGCAAAACATGCACCGGAGTTGTCACCTTCGAGACTTGGCTAATTTGTGTTCGAACAGTCAAATTAAATTGTTTACACTTCGAATTAAAATTTGCGCAACGTAGTCACTTGCAAGGTCAAAATAAATATCCTTGTAATGTGGTAATAAAAGCGACCAGTCGGTCGTGTTTCTTGCACACGGACTTCATTAGCGTTTGCACATCATTGACATCTGCAAAAGGCAGCACACCTGAGAAGTTTCTAGTAAATCTCGGTTAGCTCCAGGTAGAGAAGTTAAAATCACTTTTTCTACTCTGCTAAGGACCAGTTGGTGCTGGTCAGTTAATGAATCAAATTGGAGTATTCGGGTTAAAAAGTGTTAAAGCCAATGATGGTAGAAAATCTTTTTCGTCACCCTTGTAACACGACGACACGCGCCCTTCTCACCGTCAAATACATTTGAGGGAATGCAGGCAGAGAAGCGAGATTCGAATGGATTTGAGTGCATTTGCGCCAGTCGATGCATAAATAAACACCTAAACATCGCGCAGCAATGTTTGATTGATTAAAACATCTTTCACTAGCAAGCAGAGTACAGCGGTCCTTTCAAGCACATGTGAATGAATAACTTTGCTGTCATCGTTTAGCACTTTTGCAAGAAAAGCAGCATCTTGGGGAGTTTAGTTATCTTCCATCCCCTTTACTCTAAAGTTGGATTCTCTCTGGCGGCAGATGGTGAGTGATTTTATGCCTAAATTCAAAATTGTGATTCAAAAACTAGGCAGTTGAATCGAATTGTACTACACACTTTACCCGATTGCTTCGGCTGCTTTGAGATAGTTCATGTGCTCTATTCGGAATTTACCTATTTTTCTACGGTTTGTAAGTAGGGTGAAAATGCATCTAGAGGCTTTGATTTTTCTGAAAGTTAACGCTGGGTAGTCATACGATCGACACTCTTCTTCATTAAATTTGTGACCACTATTAACATGAATCACTTTTGCGTGATTGTGGGCAAAACAAACACTGGTACAAATCCACATGAAACTTGTAGAAATTTGCTGAATAAATCTGCAAAATTTCACACTCTTTTAATTTGTTGCACTCGCTGCGAATATTTTGACTTTTCGAACAAATGTGTTTGTAAATGGATTAACTTCTTGGTGCATCTGGTAATCGGGTCAAATCACATGCAGCTAGTTTTGTGTGGAATTAGGTTCACCTTTCATCTAGACAGCAAACGCTGATAATAGCTTGAAAAAGACATTCTAAGGAGGTTTCGGGTCAAGTTTGGAGTTGGGCATTTAACCTCTGGCTGAATTGCAATGATGTGTTAACCTTGAAAACTTAAGTTGCGTCTGCAAGTAAGCAAGGGATAATAGAAGGGGACGAGTAGATTTGCGTCAAGTTCTGACCACCGGATGGACCCTGATTTTGTCTAGTCATGTGGTCGTAGCCGAAAAGACCATAAACACTTTACCAGGAAACATGTTTTCAAGTATAAATCGATGCGATTTCGGAAACTGCTACACCGCAATCCCACGTCACATAGAATTCTCACGATTTTGACACCACTTAACTCTGATCCTATAAAGACTTACGAAACACTTAAAGTTAGCCCCAACGTATTGAACTGGGAAAACGCACTAAGCCCACATGCTTCTTTAGTTAGACGCCTAGGGCATTCGAGGGCTAATGAGAAGGTTGGAGTGCTGAATTGAATTTGGCCAAATTGGAGTCCTGACAAGCAAAACTCCAAGCAAACAAGGTTCTCTCTTTGAACCCAGTAACCGTATTTTATTGTTTCATTTTCTAACATATATCCTTTTACTAAAGCACTTTGTTGGCCCAGAAGAGTTTGTCTTAGGCTTCATTTACATGTGATACCAACCGGTCTAGATAATGTTACTGACGTAACTGAATTGGCATAACCTCAAACAAGTCATTAGAAATATTTATGTGTTTGGCCGTCTCTAGCAAATATACTTGGTACCACAGTACTCCTTACGGCGAAAATGGGCATTCCGGCAGTGCGAATTCATAACCGATTAAGCTAATCAAGAACTCGTCACTACAATGATAATGTAGTAACAACTACAAATGAATTTTATTTCACCTAGGCAAGTACAATTGCTGTTCACGCCTGACGCTTGGGGCCGCTGACCTAAGGCATTTTGAAAGTGCATGCGCTCACCGGTATAAGTCCTGCCATGCGTCTCGAATTCACATTGGGACCGCCACTTATGAAGGCCCGGTTCCCGATCCAGATGCTCGGGGAGTTTTAGAAGACAGGCGGCGACCGCCACTATTTTTACCAAGTAGCTCAACCCAGTTGCGCTGTTGTGTCGGCGTGCATGCCCAGGGTCGTGGACACGTGTAGGTCACAGGTGGGCGCGATGAATTGTGCGCAAACGGGTGCCCGCTCAGACTGGGCCGCATAAACCATGAGGAAAGGCTGAACAGCCATGTGGAACAGTAGAATAGGTGAAGTACCAAGGGGACTGAACAGCCTTGGATACAGATGCTGATCGCAAATTATCACGATTCACTACACTGTTTACAACGGAAATTAAAATTGCCACAAATCGACATGATAACCATTTCAAAATCACGCATTTGTTTATCAGAATGGCACAAAGCAGCAGCTGAAGTTTGTTTCTTCTAAAAGCAACAATTCATTGAATCATGCAAATCTACGCCAAGTAGAAATGATCTTCATACTATTAGCAAATGCTTATTTGACCTCGTGCTGTAAACTACGCTGCCGCATGATATTGGTGGAATTATTTTGCACTGTGCATCAGATCAGTGGGCATATCTATTTTGGCGATGGAACAGATTGTCAGTGAAGTTTGTAAAGGCTGCACAATTGTTTCAAGGCGATTCGTCACCCCAACCCACCGTATGGCCACCGATTCATCTTTTGTAACGCAACGTGTATGGCGTCATGTAGGAGGTCGACGCAGATCTAGCGTTACGAGCTGTCGCTTCACCGTATAAGATTTTGTGACTTACTTAATCATAGCCGAACTTGCAACTTCGTAAGTAATCCGATTTTCGCTTCAACCACTATGCCGCTCGTACTGCCCAGTCCCAAGTTCATCTCAACAGTATGCGTTTTACATTTTAGGGTCTTCTTAATGAATATTTTAGTGGCTGGGGCTCGGAGACGTTAGACAGGCACTTGCCCTTCATTTACAATTGCTCGTGTTGGATACCGCTTCCCGACCGTCCCGTCTTCTACACCCGTCCGCCGGCCTGGAAGAAATTCGGCAACCAGGTTAAAGTGGCCCATTTCGCCGGATTGGAGAAGCCCTGGAAGTACCGAATGGCTGCCAATGATGGCGCGATATGCCATGCCATTGAGCGACTAGAAAGCTCTGACAGTAGTTTCACGGTTGCTGAAGCGGAGGGTGTGCTGGCGTTCTGGTGGGCCACATTTTTCAAACGGGTCAAACATGAACTTAGTTATGGAATGGTCAGTCAAATGTTTCATAGTGCGTTTGATCTTTTGCATTATTACACTGACTATTTACATCACACGAGTTTTCATGCAGACTTTCAGTCAAAATGTTGGCTAGTAGGGTTTGTACAATTTTAATAATTAACGATTACTAAAACCAGACACAGTGTTACTAACTGATTTGCTGATATCTGTGTTAAGATTAGTTTTGGAAAAAACGATATCTTTGTCGTTTCAGATAGTGGAAATCACTCATATTGTCACCATTTTGCACAAGTGGTTGGAGACTAACGCATTTCCGTCGAAAATATGCAAAATGTCGTGCATATTGGACAATGCGTACTGATGTAATAGCAAAGTTGTACCCCGGTAATTCGGAATACGCTTCAGTTCGACTGTATTTCAGTCACTAAACAGTGTCACTGCTTAATTAGAGATAATGGCTGTTTATTGCCTCAAATAGCCATGAGAATATCTCCTGTTAGACAGCCCTTCTGTGGCTACGAACTTAGGTCTCAGAAACAAATTCGCAGCTTTGCCTATTTATTTTAGTTTTTATCGACAGTATTCGAGCCAGTACCTCCTCCTCCACCACCGCCACCACCAACGGCGGTACATGCGAACTATGCGGCCGAGTCGCAAGATCAGAGTTCCTTTTGGCTTGGGGAAACGTCCTATCACCCTGAGTTCCATGACACGTCCTTTGATTATCTACACAGTGGACAGCGGGTTGACGAAGCCAGTAGGTTTAAAGAGTTCCACATGTACAACGAACCACCCAAACAGACGGAACCACCACAGCACACGCAACATCATTGTCATTATCGCAAATATGAGCCAGAGGTTGGTCCCACCTATCACCATGTCCAACAGAGTCACCACGGAGATCCCCAGACGTACAGCAATGAAGAGCATTGTCAACCCAGTCAGGACAGGTTTCCGCAACGGGAACAATGTCAAGAACCTAACTACCGCGAGCACCAATATCATCACCAACAACATCAACAGAATGTGCCTTGTCTGGAGGAACTAAAACAGGAAGATCCACCTCAGAAACAGCCGCCACCACCACCAGCAGAGAAAAATGGTCCTCCAGAGTTTCACAATGAAGATCCACTGCTTCAGCCTTCCTTACCTCCAGCACCTTCACTAGAGGATGAGCCAAGAAACGACAAGGATCCGCTTTTTTTCGTACCTAAGCCGATGTGTCCGGAATGTCTAAGAGAGCTACGATGGAGCAGACAGTTTGTGGACCCACTTCATCGGGGATTCCTTGCCCCGTTGTCGTTAATGCCACTCACGAGCTCCAGTAGTCGCGTGAGGCGTCGCTCTGTGCCTCTGTGGCCTTCTGGACTGCAAATCGTCCGAGATTTCCGGCAGTCGACATCTTTGTGCGTGGCCACTGAGAAGCCCTTAAAGGGTAACGGTAATCATGCTCAAAAGAAAGATGACTGCTTACACGTCGTACAAAAACGAAAGTCGAATCATAAAAGGGGCCAGAAAAAACAACTCGACCGAAATAAATTATTAGATGCAGCAAAAAAGCGAATGCATTTAAAAGGAGAGGAGCAAGCAACGATAAAAATTTTGCCGAGAACAGTACCGGGTATTCGAGAAGTTAAGATTCCTACAAAGTCGCCCATTGGTTCGACATCCAAACACGGAACTGCACACATTCCAGCGAATGTCATGAAACCAATTTCCGATGTCAAACCGAGGTCGAGGAAGGAGGCGAAACAGAGGAGGACAAAGAAGGCAGCAGACCCGGATCCTTCGAAAGTGGCCCCAAAAAAGGTTGAAGCCGAGCCCGCGGAGATCGGTGGGCCTGCGAATGAGGCTCCATGGCTCCCGCGATGCACGCGAACTCGGAGTGTTCCTCAGCACGTGAGTTTCCATTTCGATTTTGACCAGCACTAGTGCAACTGTAAACCAGCACAATCGCAGCTTCTTATCTGCGACCCCACCGACTGTCCGAAAACCATACGATGACAGAAGGCCTTAACACCGCCTGGAGAGCCAAAGAAAAACTTCTGCGTCATCC